GAGAGGGAGCGAAGGAAGAGACCTAGGGGGAACTGGAGGAGGCGGAAAGAGGAGCAGTCTCCTGGGATGAGAGGTGGGGGCTCTAAGAAAAAGAATGAAAGAGAAAGAGGCGCTCAGTGTCAGGAAAATGAATAGTGAGAGTAAAGTGCGCAGGTGCGCCCAGGGCGATGAGAAGGGTGGGCTGGACTGGGATGTGCGCCTCGCTCCTCTGGGTGTCGGAGAGAGATACATCCTTCCACCTCTGGTGATCCGGTCCGTTGGGGCCGCGGACTTAGGAGCGGCTCCAAGTATCCGAGACAGGCAGTTGGCGACGTCTAACACGGGAGATTTTCTTCCCCCGCCGCTGGGATAGTCCCTTCGGGGCATGTAGAGTGCAGTCCTCAGGCTGCCCGCCTGCCGCGGACCCCACCCACCGTAGTACCCCGACACGAAACTCCCAAGATTTCTAAGAGCCACGCCGCCAAAGTAACCTTAAGTCCTGAAGGCCAATGGTGGGGTGCCCTCGTCTCATTTTTGACACCCCCCCCAATAGTGGCTAGGGCTGAGAGGCTGATAAGAAGAGGCCTGACTGTAGGTATTTGGGGCAGATACATTTCAGGCTCACTCAGGCCCCCTCCCAACCTTTCCTCACCTCGCGCGATCTCCTCAGGCTTGGTAGCCGGCGTTACTCCGGGCTGCTTCCTCGAATTTATTGGAACGCGGAGCCGGGACTGACCTGCGCAGGGAGAGCCGAGGGAAAGAGCGAGAGCGGGAGGGGGCGGCTGCCTGTGGGAACACTGGCTCTTCCAGGGAAGCGGAGCGGGACTGCCGCGTTCCCCTCGATTTGCACCGTCACTCGGGCTGTTTGGAAGGAAGAGGGGAGGCGCTGTGCGTGCCTTCGTGTACCTGGATCTGGGTGCAGAAGTGTGTATGAATGACTGTGCCGCTGTGTGAGTTGTCAGGGCTTTGGTAACGTCCGGAGCGAGTTTGGGGGTCACCTCCAGAAACTCGCAGAAACTGGAAGGGGGCGAGAGGAGGACACATCCCCTTCCCCGGAAGGACTTGGAAGACTTTGAATCTCCCCTCCCCCACTTTTCCGCCCCAGCTCTTCTTTTGTTGTCAAGTCCGTTTGATAAATGGTGGGGCAGAGAGCGCAGGGGAGCCAGGAGCCTGTCTGTACCCGAGCGAGGGGCGGGAGCCGGGCCTGGAAACCTGGTTTCCACCGGCGCTCACCCAGCGCTGAGCTCTGTACGGCGCGGATGTCGGGTCTGGGACCTGCCCTCTGCGTGCTCTCCTCTCTCACCACCCCATTCCCCCTCCCTAATTTTTGTCTCTGTCTCCCACTCTGCACAGATACCGAGAACTTTCTGGGGTGAGTTTTAGAATTTTCTCGTAGGTATTCTTTTTATGCGTTTTAATCTTATCCCTTAATTCTTTAGGTTGGTAAACTTCGAGATGGTAACGACTAAAGATAATTTGGAGAAGAGGGGAGTGAGGCGGTGTGTATATGGGGGGGATTTGTCGGTGTGTGTGTGTGTGTTTAGATGTAAGAACACACCTGCGTTCAAGGGGGTCTGGAGTGTCTGCCTTTGCGACAACGGAGGAAGGTCAGTCCGTGAGACGGTGGCAAGGCCACACGCGAGGTTGTGTGAATAACCTTTCAGGAGCGAGTCCCAGGTGTCCGTTTCTGAGGTGGGGGCTGTTCTAAGAGAGACACTGGAGCCGCAGGTAACCTTACGGTCTGTTAGTGTGTCTGTGTTATCGGGTGCGCGGCTGTGGAGGTGTCGGCCCAGATCAACTATAGCTCTCCCAGCTCCGCGAGCCCAGCCTTGGGCTGCGTGTCGCCGCGGCCTCCCGGCGAGGCCCGGACACTGAATGCTGGGGGCAGCGGCCAGAGCTGACCGCGGGCGGCCCTGCCTCCTCCCTCCCCCACCGCAGTCCCCAGACTCAGTCCTTTCCCGCTTCTGGAATTCCAGCAGCTTTCTTTTTACGCCAGGCTGCTGCGGGGGCCAGAGAGTGGCCTCCGCGTCCCCCGGAATGGGCGTGCCGTGGTGTGGTCGCACAAGCTCGCGGGCCTGCGTGGTGCTGAGCGCGCGCGGTTCGTGGTCCGTGTGTATTCGCTCTTCGCAAAACCCAACTCCGAAGGTCCGAGCGCACGGGGGCGCCTGGGGTCCTGCGTGCCCGGGGTTTTCCGGAGGCGCCAGCATCCGAGCCTGCGCACCTCGAAGGGGAGGCCAGATCCCTGAAGGCCGCGCACAAAGGGGTTGAGGGGTGGGTGGCGGTGTTAGGGGAGTTATTAATTACTCCGCGCTAGGCCTAATGCCTCCAACCCCCAGCGGCGATTGGCGTGGATGTCCTGCGGATTTTATTTGCACACAATGGAAATGATTTGTTTTCTCTAAAAAAGGAGTGGGCAAGGCAGATATTTGAGGAGGGGGAGGGAGGAGAAGGAAGGGGAGAGAGCTGAGGAAAAAAGTTTGAAAATGCCTTGAACTATTCACTGTCGAGATGGCTAATCAGTATTGAGGCCGGAGGGCAGGCGGGCCGCCTTTCACCGCCGCTTCCCTTTCATCTCGGGCTCGGCGGAGGCGCTCAATTAAAAGCCTATCAGTTTGTAAGTAAATCAACGCCTATCAGAGTTGTCACATCAAACAAAACGATTATTATTGCAGCCCGCCTCCCCTATTAATCTCCCTCGAAGATAATCCGCCTGACAGGTCAGGCCTGGCGAGCTGGAAAGCCTGGCCCAGAGCGCCCAAACTGTCCTGGACTGGCGCGCGCCCCTAGGGGCATCCCCGCCCCCCCAGTCCCACCCCGCCTCGTGGTCCCCCGGGAGGGGGAAGAGAAAGGGCGCGCGGATGAGTTCTACCCTGGCCCGCCCCTCCGGACTGGGAACGGGTCCCAGATTCACTGGCATGGTGGGGGATGGTCCCTGGCGGCCCTTGTGTCTTCTGGGGCTGGTGAGGCACCAGGCTTGCTGTAGCCACGGCCTGGTCTGGTCCCCAGGCCTCGCCACAGCCTGCACTCTTCTCGGCTCGCCTCTACTGGTTCTCTCTTACCCGCCCCTCCCTCTCTTGTTTGTTTTCCCTCCCGCTTCTTTCTCGGCTCCCTATCCTTTTTCTTCTCCACTCCCTCCTTCATTTATCCTTTTCCTACTTGCCAGGAAATATTTCCTATTCTTTCTCCCCATTTTCAGCATACTACTTTGGCGCAACCACACACTCTGAAGCAGGGCATTCTCAGGGCCCGGGTTCCTTCTCCGAGGCAAGGCTGCCTCAGGAGTATGTGCAGTTCTCAGGAACTCATGACAAAATCTTTCCTAATTTCTCCCCAAGCAGGGGGTCTCAGAAGCTCTGCGCCTGTTGAAGGGTCGGGTGCGTTCGTAGAAGGTGAGGGAAAAAAAGAGATCAGGACAGTGAAATGGGCAGATGGTCGCAAGCGCCCTATTCTGGAGTTAGTATTTGGTCTTGGAATTTCGCAGTGCAACGTCTTTGAACTCGCTGGTGGC